TCAGAGTGTGAATAATGTTCTCTAGGAGAGAACTGGGACAAAACTAAAATAATAGCCCTCCAATTAGAGCAAGCGAAGGGATCAGAAGTCACTTTGAATATGCATTGTTCCGTGTTTGAAATGTACCTCTTTTTATTTTCATGAGATGAAAAATGTGATGTCTTTCAAAATTAGAAAATTTATTTGATACTACAGAGAACACCTGGAATCTCATCTTAATTAAAAAGCTTTTGCCCAGCAAAAGAAATCACGAACAGCGGGAAGAGACAACCCACACAGTTGGAGAAAAATTTAGTCAGTTGTTCTTCAAACAAAGGACTAATGTCTAGAACTTATAAATAATTGAAAAAAATAAGATTTGAGACCCCCCATTTAAAGACCCAATACAGAAATGGGCATCAGAGATGAATACACACTTCTCAGAGGAAGAAGCAAAAATGGCAAATTAATGCATGAAAAATGTTCAACATCACTGACCATTCAAGAGATCAAAATTAAGACAGTTCTGAGATTCCCTCTCATCCCAGAAAAAATAGCTATCATTAAGAAGTCGACCGATAACAAATGCTGGCCATGCTGTGGGGTAAAAGGAACCCTTGTGTATTGTTGATAGACGTGTAGACTGGTACAACCACTGTGGAAATCAGTGCAGAGATCTCTCAAACTAGGACTACAAGTTCTATCTGACATAGCTATTCCTCTTCTTGGTATCTTCCGAAAAGAATTAAAAGCATCATACCACAGTAATATATGTGCACATCCATGTTTACAGCAACTTGTAATAGCTAAATTTTGGAAATAACCCAAATCCCCATTGATTTATGAACGGATAAAAAAGGTTTTTTCATACAATGAAGTACTACTCTACCATAAAGAAGGATAAACTTGAGACATTTATGGCTAAATGGAGGGACTTTGAAACCATGCTAAATGAAATAAATTGGACACATATTTGTCAATATCACATTGTCTCTCTGATATAAATGGAAGTGTTACTAAGAACCAAAATGTGAAATAGGAAGTAATTATTCACAGGGAAAGGTGAGTGGGGAGAGATGGAATGGAAAAGAAGAAAATGAGAAAAAAAAAAGAATGAAATGGAATCAAAGCTTTGTAAATAAGGAGGGAAAGAGGCGTTGAAGAGAGGGAAGCATGAAAAGGTACAAGTTCCCTATGGCCAATGTGATCATCGGTGAATATCTAAATTGTGCCAATAAACGTAATTCAAAAAATATTTGAATTTATTAATTGAAAATACAAAAAGTATAACAATGTAAGACAGCCTAGTAAGAGAGTTATTCTTCAATAATCACTGTTGGGGCTGGCAAGACAGCTCAGAGGTCGAAAGTGCCTGCTTAGGCAAATGCATGCAGTTCCGTGCCCAGCACTGCATGCTGTGCCAGACCTGCCCCCAGGGTGGGCTGAGCCAGGCACAGAGAGAGAGCATGGTGGCACATGCCTGTAATCCCAGCTCTGGGGCAGCAGAAAACAGGAGGATCACAATGAGTCCAACTGGATAGAGAGAGAGAGAGAGAGAGAGAGAGAGAGAGACAGAGAGAGAGAGACAGAGAGAGACAGAGAGAGAGAGACAGACAGACAGAGAGAGAGAGACAGACAGACAGAGAGAGAGATCACTGTTTGCTTTATATTTTTGTATAAGCTAAAATGCAAAACACTTTCCTTTTAACTGTTTGACTGTTTCGCCATTAAATGGCCTTAAAATCTGTGTATTTTCCCAGATGCTCTGAGCTGGTACTCGGGAGCTCTGGAGCAAGCTGTGGCTCAGTCACCACCCTAGCAACCCTGAGTGCCTTGTGAACCAGAGCGCATTTAACAAGTGATACTTCTCCAGTTTCTTTTTTCCTTTCTTACCTTTGTGGCGGGCTCAGCCAGGGATGGTGCAGCGTTCGGTGTCGGCGACTGAACCAGGGTCCCTGTGCTTGCCTAAGACTGCCTAAGCAGGCCCTTTAGACTGCTGAGCTACCTCACCGGCCCTCCAGTTATTTTTTGATCAGTGAAAACATCCTCACAACGTACCATTATCATCACTGTTAACAGGATTCAGAAATGAGATGCCCAGTGTGCGGGCTGCTCCGGGTCCTCTGCTGCTACCCTAAGTCTCCCTGGAAAGCCAGGACACCTGAGATGGGGGACACTTCACTTCTCTTGGGGACTCCAGGGGCTTTGGTTTTCTTTAGTGGCTATAGTTTCATTATGCATGGCTATGAAGCTGATTACTTCAGGGAGTTTCTTTGTATGCTTGTTATTTGTTTTACTCCTTGATCTCTGCCATAATCAGAGCTTATATAAATAATGTACCACTTAAATACCACTGTGGGATTTTAAATTTGAATTAGTAACATCACAATAGAAATTACATTTTACTGTAATAGAAGTATCTTAACTTAGCTAATCACGGGCTGTTATTTAAAAGCGAATATCTCAGAAACCTCATAAAATATTGTTGATATTTTAAAATATAAACCGCCTAAGATTGCACATTATATTAAACTTCAATGACCTCCCTCATAATATTAATTATACTTTTAAGACTTTTGTATTTCAAGAAAAACATGCATTGTATGGAGAGTAGCGATTCTGATCGTTTACTGTTGCCTGGCAGCTGTAGTAATGAAATCGGAAGTGCTAGGTGGATGTGCTACATGAAAAAGAGTGGTACTTGCCCGTGACATTAAAGCGTGTGTCCTGTGCCTTGCGGCTGCTTTGCCACACCTGGCTGCAGCACTAGACTGGCAGCGCCTGTGAATCTTACCCTCTCCTTTCTACTATGCATTGGTGTCATATTGGTCCAATCAGGGGAGAGGGAAAACAATATTTTCAAGCAGGGAAAGCTTATTTTTTATTTATTATTATTTTATATATTTGGGACAGGGCCTCACTGAGCAGCTCAAAGTCGTAGTGATCCTCCTGTTTTCAGCCTCCCTAGTGCTGGATTACAGGCATGTGTGACCACGCCCAGACTCATTCACCCAGCTCAGCGCTTCCAGAGGTGGTGCCACACGGCATGCGGTCCAGGGGATTGCACCCTGGTCCCTGCGCTTGCCTAAGCAGTTGCTTAATCCACTGAAATATCTCGTCGGCCCATCATGCAAGGAAACTTTAGTTTTAAATGAGGAATTATGGGCTGTCCTTGTGAGTGGGATGCCCAGGGACTGGCTAGAACTACAAGGAACGCTTCAGAGTTACAACTGTCAGGCTTGGGGCTCACCCCCTTACCAGGGACCCAAACTCCTCCTTGGAGACAACGTGGAGGAGGCTCACCAAGGCAGAGAGATCACTGTGCTGCCACACTGGTGGGGTCTCCGGGGAACCCGCGTTTGGGGCCGAGTGTCCCTGGAAGCTCTGAAGCAGACAGGCCTGGGATCTCCCGCTGACCTGGGGCCTGTGGGACCGCGCAGGCTTCTGGAGCACAGGGAGCCTGCCGCACAGCAGGGGACAGGTGTGTCCCTTGAGCAAGCCCAGCTGGGGCTGTCCCTCGGCCCGCAGGGTCCCTGCACTCTGCGCAGAGCCAGAAGTTGTGCAGGTGCCTACTAAAGAGCCTGCTCCTTTGCAAGGAGCAAACCAAAGGGTGCTTGAGGGGAGCAAGGGAAGCGCAGCCACGCGTGGACTGAAACTGAGACGCGCACTCTCAGTTCGTGGGAATCGCTAAGGCCTTAAGCTGGGGTCAGGCGCTGCGGAGGAGCAGTGGAAAGGGAGCCGACAGGACTGCCAGCCCGGGTGCTGTGCGGCGCTAGGCCATGAAGGGAGAAAGACTGTACATGCCTGGTGCTTAGTTTCTGCGAATGCAAACTGAAAGACTTAAAATAAATTCAGCATATCGGTTACATCACGCGTGTCAGTAATTGGATCTTGGGGGAGTGCTATATTTAAACGTAGTTTCATGTAAATGTGATTAGTCATTTAAAATGAATAAATCATCTTACTCGATTGCCACTAATAGGAAAGAAATTTCACAGCCAAGGAGGGACTTCCTAGTATATATTTTCTGACATATTCTAATTGGCCAAATTATCTTAGTTGGCTAATAAATCTGACTCTCTGTAAAGTTCACCATAATTTCCATAGTGTTTCAATAAAGAAAAGGAAAATAGATACATTGCAGAGGTCTCACGAATTGGCAGTACTCCTAAGGGGCTTATATCTAAACGCATTTAAGAAGAGTGATTTCTCAAACATAAAGTCATCATCTAATTCATCAGTATTTATCTCTCCATGCGCTCTAAGGTATGTATGCGTACAGAGAGCTTTATGAAACATTTAAATTAAAGATAGAGTAAATTAAGTTAGAATAAGTATAAATTAATTGCATTTAAAAATTAAAACAACTAGACTGAGAAGTTTCTTCTGATTATCATTAAAACATGAAGGCCATAAAACGTGCCCCGCTCATTGACTCTTACTTAGATTGGCTCACATTCTTCCAATAAATTTAAAGTTTTGTTGCAGTAATTTTAATTACAATTTTGACCTCTTAATTCTTTCAGCATGCATTTGCCAGGATCAAATATATGAATGTGAAAGTTAATAAATCACGCTCTTTTATGCTAATAAGGTTATAAAAATAGTCTTATAGAGAGCGAGACAGAATTGCATTGATGAAATTACAAGAGTCAGATATTGGAGAGCGAGATTCCCTCCAGCAGCACATATGCTTTCTGTAAAGTGACATTCTCAGTTTAAAATGAGAAAACCACCCGGGTAACCTGTGTGCGCCAGGCCTGCGTGCTCAGGCGGCGGCAGAGCCTCGTGCGTCCGAGCCACTCGCTCCTGCCGCCGGCACGGGCCTGAGGAGGGCTTCCTTCTCTCCTTGGCCGCTGATGCACTTAGCAAGGGAGCAGGGAGGGAAGAGAAGCGGAGCCTCCCTTTGAGCGCCGGGTAAATGGAAATTGGTGCCTGAGGCCTCCTGTGCCGCTGCCAGCTTTATTATATTTCGGTGGAGCGTCTCTAGTGTCGCAATTTGATTTGTCTTTTTTTCCTAGCTTCTCCATGGGTGGATAATAGCAGAACGCCAAACAAGATTGACCTTTATGACGTGCGCCGGAGACCATGGTAAGGGGGGTTAGCTGGCCATGAGAAGATGTGGTGATAGACGGAAGGAGCTTGTAACTTTTTTAAAAACTAGCAGGAATTTTCCCATTATTAGGATGAGTGTTACCTAATTATACACAGTTTGCGCATATTTTTTAAGGTAAATGTGGCTACAGGCGGAGGGCAGGGAAGAGTCCAGTGGGCACCGCAGGGCTTGCCGCGCTTCTCGGAGCGTGCTTCCCGTGGGCGGAGCTCGGCTTTGCGCCCTCTCGCAGGCCTCCCCCTGCAGAGGGGTGGTGGGCAGCCCTCGAGGGCTCGCCCGGCTGGGAGCTGCCCTTGGCTGTACTTGCGC